TTCTCAGGAAGTGCCACCAACGGCTATATCTCCTTAGGAAGCTCAACTCCTTTGGAGTCAGCTCCTCAGTCATGATGACCTTTTACTGTGCCTTCCTGGAAAGCATCATGACCTTCTCCATCACTTGCTGGTTCTACTCTCTTAGCCTCCAGGACAGGAACAGACTGCAGCACACTGCATCAGTGTGCTCCAAAATCGTTGGCCTGCCTGTCAGAACTCTTGCTCAGGTTTTCTATCAACAAGCCCTGAGACAGGCAGCTAAAATCCTCCACAACCCCTCTCACATTCTTCACCCCGCATTTCAATGGCTCCCCTCTGGGCGACGCCTCCGCTGCATTTCCTGTAAGAGGAGAAGAGCCACCTTTGTCCCCAAAGCCATTCTGCTCTTTAACTCCAGCAGATAAGACCATCCCCCGATAAACCCTCTCCTTGGGCTCTCCATATATTTAACTTTTATACAGACAACACTTTAGTCACTTTATTCACTTACACAGTGATTTTTGCATATTTTATTTTATCCATCTTCTTGCTGCTTTATTACTTCCTTATTGCCTACTTATTCAATGTTTGTATGTCCAACATCATGCTGCTCTGCTGTTATTTTTTTTAATTGCCCCTCGGGGATAAATAAAGTTTTTCTGATTCTGATTCTGATTAAGACTAGAACTACCAGGATTATCTGACCCCCTCGGCTCTACCAGAGGTAGCCAAATGGCTCCTTGGTTTGAAAATCACAACTCAGCCACTGACAGTTAGCTGTCTTTCATTTGTAAATGTAGCCATTCTCTGTGCAGAGCACAAACAACGGCCCATTGGAATGTGAAGGAATGCTGGGGAGCGGAAAAATTTCAGTCATTTAGGTCGGCCTAATTTTGTTTGCCTCTTTAGCTTTATAGCCCTGGTAGAAAATGACTCAAAAGCTCTTTTTACAAGACAAACTGTGCCGGTAAATCAACATAACATTACCGCAATAGTGTGTTTGATAAACGGCGTTGTGCGAATTTTGCTGCATTTGTTGCGCCTTGCTTGGTAGTAATATTGCGGTAATTGTCTGTGCTAAAAACAGCGATTGCACCTTGCCACAACAGAGGAAGATGTCAAATGGCGTAGCAAATGTGTGGTGACCCCCAACTGGAAAGAGTGTATAAACCACAAAAACATGGGAAAGTTAGTAAACAAGCAGCGGACATGGCTACTTGGAGTGACATAAGATCTGTGAACTTCTGTCTTTACGATCAGAGGCAGAAGTTGCCAGACAATTCTCAGGAACTGTGACGGACAGCCACCTCTTTGAGGGTTTGTCTAAAACCCTCAAGGAGCGTAGCTTCAGCCGAGACAGAGAACAGATCACATCAAAACTCAAAGGATTGAAGAAGTTTCACTTTTCACTGTTTCAATTTACATGAGAGTGCAGCCTGGTAACCTGAAAAATAAATCCTGTTCAGATGTAGCTGATCACCTGAAGCCTTTTCAAGAGTCTGGCTTGTTTTCAACACTTGAAAAGCAGCTTCATCACAGCTGTTATGAACCTTCTTTTGGAACCTGGACAATCGAAGCCTGCATTGCAGTTAACCTGCATTATTCCCAAGGCCGGATTAACCATGTGGGCAACTGGGCAATTGCACATGTTCTCTACTTTTTGTCTTATTTGTGCTTGAAGCGCTCTGCCACTGCGGAGCTCATCACCTGTGCTGCGGTGATTTCACCTCACTGACGCATCGAAACGCGCTCTCCGCTTTGCGGTCAGGAGAGCCCTTTGATCTGCTCAGAAGTAACTGATGAGGTGAAAAAGTAAGAATCCAGGCAGCAGATTTTCTGGAGAGTTTAGAGGAGATGCAGGAAGATGAGAGATAGACAGGACAGGAAAATATAGTTAAATAAAAACAAGAAAACAAAACAAAGTGTTGAAAAGTAAAATGTAGGTAGATTTATCTCCTCTACACGTTTTTACCTGTATAAAACAATAAGTTATACACATGTAATATTTATACATCTGATACAATTCAGATCACCTTCAAAACTCAGTCACACACCCAGGGCCGTTTCAAGACATTTTGGGGGCCAAGGCAAAATGACCCCCCCCCCCCCACCACCACCACCACCACCACCACCACCCCACCACCATAGCTGGGCTCCCCAGAAGCCTCTGTGTAATCCATAACCTCTCCAGGAGTGTTAGTTATACAGTGTTTATAAAAGCCCCTCAGACATCACTGACATGGTCTAATATTATCAGATGAAAAACTAAATTATCAGACATGCTGTCTCATCTGCTTCTTTTGTAAACTTGCAAAAAGTAACAAAACCATTTGAAAGCCACTATTTGTGGATTCTCTGAAAGTTTCCATGGAGTGTGTGACAACTTATTTTTTCATTGATCCTATCGTCTAATCTCACAGCTGAAACAAGCATCCTTGATAATCTGTGCACAGGAAGCGTACCAATGCTGTAGTAAAACAAAAGGTATAATAATTTATTATTAATAAAACCTTGTTGCAGCACTAAAGCAGAAAAATTAGATTTTGCAGTAAATATGCTAAGTATTTATTGTTTTGGAGCCCTTTTATTGGCATAATCTGATATTAATTTAGTTCTTACAAAAACAATGGGTCCCAGCGTTGTGTGGCGTTGCCATAGTGTGATGTCATAGGCACAGATCCCCTGTCCTCTTTTTTGGAAATGGAAATATGATCACCCTGTATTAAACAAACTGTCCACCCGGGCTTTTGCGCTGCACAGAGACTGTTCACTTTGAACGTCAGTTGAGAGTCAGTCTCTTGTAGACTGACCAATGAAGAGAGGGCCTCAAGTTAAGACTCTCTCCTCATTGGTCAGTCCACACAAGGTGGGTCAAAGGTTACCCTGAGCGGGTTATGTGAAGTCAGGCATTCAAGTATTGAGTATATTTACTGCATATTACAGTAAAATATTCTGTATGTGACCATATTATGGTGATCCTTGGGTCGTGATGATGGGGCCCTTGAATATTGTTGCCCAGGGTACAACGAAGTCTTAATCTGGCCCTGATTATTCCCCCTAAATTGTTTGAGTTGCAATAGAAAACATCCACAAAAGGCTTGCCCGTTTGAAGGTTTATTGTTTTAATAAAACCATAATGCTTTCTTGGATTGCCTGAGCATTTTGTGGCCCTTTTGTAAAAAGGGCTTCTGTTGAATCTGGTCAACTGAACTTGCCCACCCAAAATAATTTATGACTGACTTTGTGAAGACTTCAGATAAGCACACAAGTTGTGATTGCAACATAAGCTATGAAAGCTACAAACATAGTAATTATAAAAAAAATCTGGTTTTACAGATTCCTGTATGCTCTGTCATTATATCCTGCATGTAGCCTCTGACTGAAGACACTCTTGTTGAGTATTCTTGTGTCTCTGGTTTTTCTCTAGCTGCCTCTTTACCTGACTGCTAGAAAAAAACAGGCAAGAGGGGAAGGTGAGCACCAGCATATCCTGAAGTTATTTACAGAACACAGACAAACAAACACGAGTGATTAGGAATGCTAGGCGAAAACAACGGTGCCAAATGGCAGCTCTCTGAGAGTTCTAGTGATAAGGAAACTAATTCAATATGTTAGTAGGTAGCTTTACCCTATATGACCTAGGGGTCTACTAACTCAAGATTTTTTTTTTTAGAATAAAGTGTCATTAATTACATTTAAAAATGTAAGCTAACCTCCCAATACTGTGATTATATGTTCAAAGTTTTAACTACACCATTTAAACCTTCTTACTGTCTTAAATTGTGATTTCATTCCTTAAATATGGTCAGATGTTTACTTAGATTTACACTAAAAGTGTCTGTCTTGCATCATGATGATGAAGGTGGGTACTGCAAATACAGGCTCCAAAAGTCAATAGTCTTTCATTAGGTCTTTTCATTGTGTGTTTCTCTGATGCATGTCTTTTCAGTTGTTGTTTACTGTCATTTCCATTTTAAATGTCATTGTCAGAATGGGGGTGTAATTCTTGCAAGATAAGCTTTGTGCTGAATGTTGACTTGTTTTTAGATTTAGGCAATGCAAGAAAAACTTCCTACACAAATGCTATTTGTTTTCTAGATGTAAGAAATACCACTGGCTTCAAAAGGGTCAATTTGTTACATCATAACACATTTGATTTGAAATCAAAAGGTCAGCACAAAACAGACATGTTTAAAATCACTATAAAAGAAATTATTAGATTTAAATATCACATTCATCCTAATAAATTAGAATTACACAAAATTCAAGCCTGAGCGTTTTCAATTCAGAAGGAGCAGTGAAAAGAAAAACCGTTTTCAAAGTTGATTTAAAAGTTGCTAGACTTGGAGCAAACTTTAAGTCTTAAGGAAACTAATTCAATATGTAAGTAGGTAGCTTTACCCTGTATGACCTAAGGGTCTACCACCTTCCTAAGGATCTTGGCTTCTTACTGGATGTAGATATTGCAAGGGAAGCCTAACTATATTTTGTCATGAAGTGATTTAGAAAACAGCAGTTGTACTTTTGATTAGCTAGCTGTAAATGCATAGTTCAATCTAAAAATTTAAGAACAGGAGTGATTTGCTCAGTTATTTAGGTTCTTTTTAAAACTATAGCTGCAGTGTTCTGAATAAATTGCAGTTTTGACATGATCAGAGCATAAAAACATTACAACTGTCCAGTCCTAATTTCAGCTTGAGAGCTACTTTAATGTCACAATGTTCACATGTGTTACTAAACGTTCATATTCAACATCATTTGGTGAAATAACCTATTTTTAAACCCTACCAGAGCAAAACTGTATAGACAGATAAAAATGTGCCAAAAGTGATTCTGCTCTTAAAAAGATTTAATTAAAATGTTGTTTTATTTTAAAAAAAAAAGAAGATATATTTACTCAATACAGGTTTGGTGTTCTTGTAAATTGTGATGATGTTAAACCAACTTTTAAACTTTTACAAATAGAAGAGAAGTTATATAAGTTCATTTCTTAAATGTTGTTTTCTCTGACTTACAGGAAAGCCACACCCTTGCATTTAGTGTATCAATAGGTGGGCGGTAACCTGGCCCACCTCTTTGGTTATAAAAAGGTCATGCTGTTCAGCCACTGTGCCATTTACTTGGTAAAACCTCTGGGTCAAAGCTTTCTCAGTTTTTGCTGTGAAGTGGAAGCCATCTTTTACTTTTAGTAGCTTTGTTTGTGCATTTCTCCATCTTCTTTGAAGATTTTGTTTCCTGATTTGCCAGCTACAACCTGCCAAGGTAAGGTTTCAGAAATACATATTAAACTCAAAATGTTTATGGGTATAACTGTTTATAAAGACAGCATCTATGAGTGTTTTTTTTTTTTAATAAAAAGTGAACCCAGATATGGCAGGTTTTCTGATCCATTGCAATGTCACTGGAACAGCTCCAAAGACTTAACTAGTTTTGGTGCAAATTCATTCAAAGGGGTTAGAGTTAAGATGTTTCGCTTCTCAACAAAGCTTCAACAACAATGTATCAAAGCTTCTCGGTGAGAAACAAAACATTTTCAAGAAAGCAAATAAGTCCAGTTGTGTTCATTTGAATCCTATTGGATTACCATGACCTGGATGACTGAGAACCCTCAACAGCATTTTGGTGTACACTATTGAAGTGTCTCAGTCACAGGGTTCTTTGGTTTCGTGAAGACATTTTGCTTCTCATCTGAGGAGCTTTGTCGTGTCTAAGTGGAATATGGGAGAGTCAATCTTATACGCTGTACATGTCTTATTCTTCAACAAGGTGAAGACTCTGCAGTCCACCTACACCTGAAGGACAAGGGACACTCCTGACAAAGCATATATTCTGGACAGAGAAGATATATGGTTTGACAGGAGTAAAATAAGCTATCTATGTCAAATGTGGAAAAAAAAACTTTAACTAGAGATGGGGGGCTTCGATTTCACCTTTCCAGTACAATGTATCCAGTATAATGTAGCTGAGCTGATAATCAGCCCTGGGTAGCGTACGTCACACACAACAACACTGAGTTTGTCATAAATATGGCGACTGAAGTGGAGTTCGCTGCGGCTCTTTCCTCTGTTCTAAATGATGGTGAGGATGGACTCGATAGTGGTGTAGAACTGCCTCATTGACTGTGGTGATAGGTTCAATTTCTTCAGCTGCCTCAGGAAGTACATCCTCTACTGGGCTTTTTTCTGATGGTGGTGATGGTGGGCTCCCATTTGAGGTCCTGGGTGATGGTGGTGCCCAGGAAGCGACATGAGTCCACCATCATGATGGGAGTGTCAGACAGGTTTAAGGGGGCGATGGGATGTGTGTGTTTCCTAAAGTCCACAACAACCTCCGCTGTCTTCTGGGTGTTGAGCACCAGGTTGTTGTGGCTGCACCAGGACACCAGCCGTTCAGCCTCCATTCTGTAAGCGGACTCATCCCCATTAGAGATGTGTCCGATGATGGTGGTGTCGTCAGCAAACTTAATTAGTTTGACAGACTCATGTTTGGAGGTGCAGCTGTTGGTGTACAGGGAGAAAAGCAGAGGGGAAAGAACATAGCCCTGTGGTGAGCCAGTGCTGATGGTTCGTAGGTCCGAGACATTCTTCCCCAGCCTGACTTGTTGTTTCCTGTCTGTCAGGAAGTCAGTGATCTACCTGCAGATGGGGTTAGGCACGTTCATCTGGGACATTTTGTCTTGGAGGAGGTCTGGCAGGATTGTGTTGAATGCAGAGCTGAAGTCCACGAACAATAACCTGGCGTAGGTACCTGGGGAGTCCAGATGCTGCAGGATGAATTGTAGAGCCATGTTGATTGCATCATCTACAGACCTGTTTGCTCTGTATGCAAACTGCAGGGGGTCCAGGAGGGGGGGGGGCTGTGAGGGTCTTGAGGTGGGGGAGAACTAGGTGCTCAAATGACTTCATGACCACAGATGTTAGAGCCACAGGCCTGTAGTCATTTAGTCCAGTGATTCTTGGTTTCTTGGGGATAGGGACTATGGTGGAGATCTTGAAGCAGGCAGGCACTTGAGATTCTTCCAGTGAGGAGTTGAAGATGCTCGTAAACACTGGGGCCAGCTCTTCAGCACAGTGCTTTAGAGTGGCAGGAGCCACGCCATCAGGGCCCGGGGCTTTTCATGTGTTAAGAAACCTGAACTGCTTCTTTACATCTGCTTCATGAATGTGTGTGTTAAGAGACCTGAACTGCTTCTTTACATCTGCTTCATGAATGTGTGTGTTAAGAGACCTGAACTGCTTCTTTACATCTGCTTCATGAATGTGTGTGTTATCGGTGGAGGCGGGGGTTCTGGGTTTGTAGTTGGTGATGTTCCTGAAACTTTTCCACACAGAGGTTGGGTCGTTTTCAGAGATTTGCTGCTGCATTTTGTCATGATGCTGTTGTTTTGCTTTGACCAATTCTTTGCTGAACCTGTATTTAGTGTCTCTGTAGGAGTCCTTGTCCCCCCTTTTAAATGCATCTCTCTTTTCAAACCACAGCTGTTTGAGTTTAGGGGTAAACCAGGCTTTGTCATTGTTATAACTCACCCTGGTGTGTGATGGTATGATGCTGTCCTGACAGAAGTGGATGTAGGAGGTGACGGTATCTGTGAACTCATCTAAACTGTCTGAGGTGGCCTTCATTACCTCCCAGTCTGTGGTCTCAAAGCATGAGCGAAGCTCATCTGCAGCATCAGTGTTCCACTTTCTTGTTGACTTCACAACAGGCTTGGAGAGTTTTAGCCTTTGTCTGTAAGTTGGGATCCGATGGATGGTCAAGTGGTCAGACAGTCCAAGCGCAGCACGCGCTTCTGCATGATAGGCTCCCGTTACTGTGCTGTAACAGTGGTCCAGGTTTTTCTCCTCTCTGGTTGATCATTTGATATACTGTTTATGTTTGGGAAGCTCCTAGCTCAGATTTGCTTTGTTAAAGTCTCCAAGTACAATGATGAGGGAGTCTGGGTATGTCCGCTCCTTGCACAGTATCTCTTCCGCGATCGCACGCTGAGCCTCGTGCACATCCGCATCAGGTGGGATGTAAACAGCGTCTAGAATGAATGAGGCGAACTCCCGCAGAGAGTAAAATGGTTTACAGTTTACTCTGCAGTCCACCTACACCTGAAGGACAAGGGACACTCCTGACAAAGCATGTATTCTGGACAGAGAAGATATATAGTTTGACAGGAGTAAAATAAGCTATCTATGTCAAATGTGGAAAAAAAAAACTTTAACTAGAGATGGGGGGCTTCGATTTCACCTTTCCAGTACAATGTATCCAGTATAATGTAGCTGAGCTGATAATCAGCCCTGGGTAGCGTACGTCACACACAACAACACTGAGTTTGTCATAAATATGGCGACTGAAGTGGAGTTCGCTGCGACTCTTTCCTCTGTTCTAAATGATGGTGAGGATGGACTCGATAGTGGTGTAGAACTGCCTCATTGACTGTGGTGATAGGTTCAATTTCTTCAGCTGCCTCAGGAAGTACATCCTCTACTGGGCTTTTTTCTGATGGTGGTGATGGTGGGCTCCCATTTGAGGCCCTGGGTGATGGTGGTGCCCAGGAAGCGACATGAGTCCACCATCATGATGGGAGTGTCAGACAGGGTTAAGGGGGCGATGGGATGTGTGTGTTTCCTAAAGTCCACAACAACCTCCGCTGTCTTCTGGGTGTTTAGCACCAGGTTGTTGTGGCTGCACCAGGACACCAGCCATTCAGCCTCCATTCTGTAAGCGGATTCATCCCCATTAGAGATGTGTCTGATGATGGTGGTGTCGTCAGCAAACTTAATTAGTTTGACAGACTCATGTTTGGAGGTGCAGCTGTTGGTGCATAGGGAGAAAAGCAGAGGGGAAAGAACATAGCCCTGTGGTGAGCCAGTGCTGATGGTTCGTAGGTCCGAGACATTCTTCCCCAGCCTGACTTGTTGTTTCCTGTCTGTCAGGAAGTCAGTGATCTACCTGCAGATGGGGTTAGGCACGTTCATCTGGGACATTTTGTCTTGGAGGAGGTCTGGCAGGATTGTGTTGAATGCAGAGCTGAAGTCCACGAACAATATCTTGGCGTAGGTACCTGGGGAGTCCAGATGCTGCAGGATGAATTGTAGAGCCATGTTGATTGCATCATCTACAGACCTGTTTGCTCTGTATGCAAACTGCAGGGGGTCCAGGAGGGGGGGGGCTGTGAGGGTCTTGAGGTGGGGGAGAACTAGGTGCTCAAATGACTTCATGACCACAGATGTTAGAGCCACAGGCCTGTAGTCATTTAGTCCAGTGATTCTTGGTTTCTTGGGGATAGGGACTATGGTGGAGATCTTGAAGCAGGCAGGCACATGAGATTCTTCCAGTGAGGAGTTGAAGATGCTCGTAAACACTGTGCTTTAGAGTGGCAGGAGCCACGCCATCAGGGCCCGGGGCTTTTCATGTGTTAACAGACCTGAACTGCTTCTTTACATCTGCTTCATGAATGTGTGTGTTATCGGTGGAGGCGGGGGTTCTGGGTTTGTAGTTGGTGATGTTCCTGAAACTTTTCCACACAGGTGATGTTCCTGAAACTTTTCCACACAGAGGTTGGGTCGTTTTCAAAGATTTGCTGCTGCATTTTGTCATGATGCTGGTGTTTTGCTTTGACCAATTCTTTGCTGAACCTGTATTTAGTGTCTCTGTAGGAGTCCTTTTCCCCCTTTTAAATGCATCTCTCTTTTCTAGCCACAGCTGTTTGAGTTTAGGGGTAAAGCAGGCTTTGTCATTGTTATAACTCACCCTGGTGTGTGATGGTATGATGCTGTCCTGACAGAAGTGGATGTAGGAGGTGACGGTATCTGTGAACTCATCTAAACTGTCTGAGGTGGCCTTCATTACCTCCCAGTCTGTGGTCTCAAAGCATGAGCAAAGCTCATCTGCAGCATCAGTGTTCCACTGTCTTGTTGACTTCACAACAGGCTTGGAGAGTTTTAGCCTTTGTTTGTAAGCTGGGATCAGATGGATAGTCAAGTGGTCAGAGAGTCCAAGCACGCTGTACTGCATGATAGGCTCCTGTTACTGTGCTGTAACAGTGGTCCAGGGTTTTCCCCTCTCTGGTTGAACACTTGATATACTGTTTATATTTGGGAAGCTCCTGGCTCAGATTTGCATTGTTAAAGTGTCCAAGTACAACGATGAGAGAGTCCGGGTACGTCCGCTCCATGCACAGTATCTCTTCCACGAGCACACGCTGAGCCTCGTGCACGTCCATGTCATGTGGGATGTAAACAGCGCCTAGAATGAATGAGGCGAACTCCCGCGGAGAGTAAAATGGTTTACAGTTTGTGAAAAGATATTCCAGAGATGGAGAACAATGCTGCACGATCACTGTGACATCTGTGCACCAACCATTATTGATTTAAAAACACACACCTCCACCTGTGGTCTTGCCGGAGAGAGTCACTTTCCGATCTGCGCGGATGAGGTGAGACCCCTCCAGCTGGAACGCGCAGTCCTGGGTGTCCTCACTGAGCCATGTTTCAATGAAGCACAGAACCCCAGATGACGAGAAGTCTCTGTTTATGTTCCTCATCAGGGTCAGCTCGTCCATTTTGTTGTGGTGTGAGCGCACATTAGAGAGGAAGATGCCAGGCAGAGCCGTGCACAGTCCCCGTCTCCTCAGACGCACGAGACGCCCGCTCATTTATCTCTCCTCCTGTGTCTTACTTTCCTGATCAAAGTTGATATTGAATCGGCCCCGGATGCAACAAAAAACGAGGTTAAGTCCACCGGAATCATAGTGTTGTAACTTATGAGTTCTTCTCTTGAGTAGGAGTACCCAGATACGCAATTTACACACAAAAACAGAACAATAACAGCGCACCAAAGTACCACGGCAGCCGTCTGTGGCGCCATCTTGAATCCCTCACAATAGAGGCTAGCGACTCATCAGGTGATGGAGAGCCGAGGTACCCACAGTAGTTTTGGCTCATTGACTAACAATAGATAGCTACAGCTTATAGGCTTGACTCTCCCATATTCCAGTTTGAAGTGACAAAACTCCTTGGATGAGAAGAGAAACATCTTCAAGAAACCAAAGAAGTCCAGTTGCCTTCATTTGAACCCTTTGGAGTATCATGACCTGGATGACTGAGAACTTTCACTCGCCCTTTTTACAGTTAGAATTGACAAAGCTCCTCAGATGAGAAGCAAACTTCTTCAGAAAACCAAAGAAGTTCAGTTGTCTTCATTTAAACAACTTCAAATATAAATAGGCAAAAAGAAATACTAATGACCAAAAACAAGACAGGTCTTTGTTACTTAATAGGTAATCTGTCTATTAAATAGAAGATATACATTCCCTCAGGTTTCTATATCACCTATTTAATAGAATAAATACATGATATTACATTAGTGTGTAATGTATTTCTTTAGTGATCATGCATAGTACTAAATTTATGGTATTTTTTTCCTTGTTGTAGATGCCTCGTGGCAAAGGGTACCGTAGAGCTCAGGCCTTGAAGAACAGACAGTTTATGCCGAAGCCTGTGGAAGAGCTGTTCGAGATTCTGCCAAGCTGTACGGCTTTTACTCCACGTAAGTTACATATTTAGTTATTTTCCAAAACATCAAATGCTTTTTTTGAAAACCTTTGTTGAATATTTTGAAATTGACATGGTGTATGCACACTGAGAAATTTCAGATAAATTAATGTGACACACTTTACAATTACATATTTACATTACATTGATATTGTGTTAATTTTTTTTCTTCATCTTACCATTAGGTCACGGAACAGGCTTCAGGCACAGGGTTTGTCGTTGGCCCTTGTCGCCTAACACAGGAAAAAGTCTGAAAGTCATCATCCCACCAGAGTCTTCAGACAAGAAGGTACATTTAGCTAATAATTTATATTAATATTAAACTATATTATGTGCTTATAGGTTCACACACAGATTGCTGTGTGTTCTTTAGTTTCTAAAGTGCTTTGTGATTTTTATCTTCAGAGGTCCTTCATTAAACAATTGTTTCTTCTTCTAGTTTGTCTTTGTCATAGGAGATTCACATCTCCGAGCCATTGTGGATGGCTATGTGAAGGTGCCTGAGGGGAAGCTGTCCTTTGGCTACCTGTCGGTTCCTGGTGGTACAGCAGCCCACCTTACCACTGAGGTCCGGCAGTTAGTTCTCCCACGTGAACCAGATGCAGTGTGTCTGCTCGCTCCAAGCAACAACCTGGACAGTCCTATTTCTGAAGCAGAAAAAGACTTCAAGTGTCTTTTGAACACCATTTCCACTCTTTGTCCAAATGTAAGGATAGATGCAATTACAAATAATGTGCCATTAAAAAGGCAATTACTGAATCAAATTTATATTCTGGTGCTTTTTTCTACAATGATTTTTAATGACATGTAAAATTTGTGGAAAACAGGTTTTTGTTTTGGATTTCCCTCCAAGACTGAGCCATGACACCGTTGTGCAGGACCATCTGAGGATGATGTTTCACAGGGTCTCAGTACAAATGGGTATGTGGAACTTTAGTGTGCAATATACAAAATGCTTCTAACTGGAAAAACTAATTGTTAACAAAATATATTTCTTTTAGATGTCCCATACTCATCAATTGCTGAGAACTTCCCCTTTCATCGCCTGGATTTGTGGGGCAGAGATGGGGTAAGTGAGAAGTTTACAGATTTTTAATGATTAAGAGGTATTAGCTTTAGCTAAAAATATATTTTTTTTCTATAGATTCATCTCAGTGACAGTGATGGTATGGACATTTTTTCACAATTGCTCTGGCAAAAAACATACCTGCACCTCCAAAGTCAGAAGGCCCAGGTTACCCCCAAGAAGTCTGCTGCTAGAGTGGTCGTTCAACACGCAAAGCCCATTCAACCCCAAGCAGACCAATCTAAGTGGAAAGTTGTTTTGCCTGGCAAGAAGGTAAATTGTTTTTCTATGTTTTTATTTCAACTGCAGACATTATTTGGCTGTTTAGATTTTCAACAATCATGTAATATAAAAATTTCATTAATTTTTTCAGAGGTCTACTCCAGCTGGTCCAAAGGAGCAGAGATCATCTTCAAAGAGAATTCTTCTTCATGAGGTGAATGATTAATTTTAATTAATTAGGGTTCCAAGCCCAAAGGGCAGAGAACCCTATTGTTTTTGATAAATGAGATTTTATTTGATGTTCGTCATGTTGATTGATATGAGTTTTTCTAATATTGTCTACATCAAAATGTTCAGGCCGAAGTCTGCTTTGAAGTGAATCCCAAATACTTCCACGAAGATCTGCTGCATGTCTTGGAAAATGACAGTACTGGATGTCCAGATGTGCTTTCACCAGATGTCCGACAAAAAAAGGTAAATATGAAGAAATATGTTTTTTCATTAAAATGTTTTGATATTCATCTTTAATCCATTATTAATTTTAGATATTTGTCACCTAAGAATTTACAATCTGTTCATATTTTGATGACAGGTGGTACAACCTGAAGGAAAGCCAGTGTCCTCTGGAAAAGAGACAAGTGCTGTCAACACGCAGGTTTGTTGTTTTTTTTTATCATTTTTTTCCTATTTGTTGGTCAAGTCCTCCTGTAAAACATGCACAAAGTAATTACATGCATTGTATACTGTTTTTATTTCAGGGACAGGCAACAACCATCCAGAAGCCCCCTGCCAGTACAACAGCATCAATGAAGGAGCAAGTGATCATGCCCTCTGATGATCATGAATGGCCAACACTTGCAGAGAGTTTAAAGGTAATTATGATTTACACACACAATACTTTTAAAATATAAAGTTGTAATATTGCTTAAGAGATACACATTTCTCCAATAATGGAAAAATTAACATAAAACCTTGAATGACATTTTCTTTCAGACATCTCACATTCATCCAAAAGGCTCACGTGGCACACTGATGTCTCGTCATCAGGTGAATAAACTCTCATTCAAAGAAACCAAATCAGTTTTGTTGCCTTTACTTGAAACCTTTGGATTACAATGATTCCTTTCATTTACTTACAGAAGTACCTGAAGGACTGCAGTGTGGTCCTTCAAAAGCTGAAAGTGAAAACTGATGACGCCAGTGTGCCATCACCAGCCCCCAATGACAAAACGGTGAGACCTATCAGCTTTTTTCATTGAATGATGCTCATTCTAAAGTTTTTACTCAAATACTTATATTCTTTGCTTATTTAAATAAACGTTTTCATTTTAACAGTATGCAGCTGCTGTCCAAGACCGAAGATCTGTTTCACGCACAGATGTCACCAAGGACCAGGTCTGACATTGGATTTTAATATGATTGTTGTTTTTGACATCACATCATGTGCTTGACAAATAATTGTAAATTTCACAATACTAGAATATATTGTAAATATCCTGATTTGATTTCCAACAGGTTTGCTGTCACTCCCAGGAGCATTTGAAGGACTGTGCTGAGGTTCTACATCTCCAGATGAACGAAGACAAATACAGTGTTCCATCGCCTGTACCAAAAGGCAAAATGGTAGGACCTATATGACATAGTCTGATTATTGATGTTTAATAGCATACTTAATCCTACACATATTCTTTCCAATACTTATATTTCCTAAATATTATAAAACTTTTTTATTTTAACAGAACGCAGATGCTCTCCAAGACCAAGGACCTGTTGACCTAGGAGATGCTACAAAGCAACAGGTTTGACATTTTCCCCAAGTGAAAACATGCCCATTTTATTCATATATTTTCTTCTAATTTTTGAATTTTTATGTTTGTTCTCATAGGAATGTAAGGAGAAGGAGAGGAGTGTTCAACATGAGAAGTACCATGATGCTCCTGGTGCTGCAGCTTCAAGTCTTACAACTGCATCTTCCCCATCAAATCAGGAAAGTTTGAACACTTTTCATACTATTGTCAAAGGTTCATTTCATCAAGGTCATAAGCGTTTTGGGTGCAACCGATTTAAACAGTGTGCACCAAACAGCATTACAGCCATCATGACAAACACTGTCAAAATGGCTTCCACATGGTCAAGAACAGACATTAACAATATCTTGATAAGTGGTGATAGTTTATACACTTACATGAAAGAGCAAAACATGATCAGTGATGCAGAAGGCAGTGGTTATGTTTTTGTTCAAGAATTACCCACAGAGCACACATTCCATCATCACAAGTTCTCTTTGGAATACATGCAGACCTTCACAGGACATCTTCATCAGCAGATTTACCATGAAGATGTTTCAGATTTTGCCATGCCTTTGGACGTTGCATTACAGAGAGCTATATTTGACAATGACGGCTGTCTGTTTACAATTAGTAGAAACACATGTGCAGTTTTGAAAGAACAATCTCAGTTTTCTGTTTTTGATCCACATTCACGTGGTCATGATGGTCTCTGGCAGTTGAATGGCACAAGCATAGTAGCACACTTTGATACTTTAGACCAAGTTTATACACATTTAATCAATCTCTCTCACTCTTTGTGTGCTGAAAATGCAAATGAAGAGGACACAGCTTTTGAAATGACCGGTGTTAAGGTGACTGCTCAATCTATGAGTAAACCTACCCAAAGTAAAACTGCTTCTTGCCAAAATGATGTAGAGTTAATCAGTGGAAATGATGATAGTTTTGATGACGATACATTTGATCAGTTAGTTGTTGAAGAGATTGAAGATGTTGCAGTTAGTGACAAATCTGAGTCTCTTTCTGAATCTCCATCTCATTGTGAGCTCATCCATACGCAAAATAGTTCTTTTCAAGATGATGCAGAGTCATTATGTACTAGTTTTGATGATGATAGTTTTGATAAAGTAGTACTTCAGGAAATAGAAGATATTGCAGTTAATGACAACGCTTCCCTTAATGTAGACTCAGTAACTGAAAATCATCACACTTCTTTGGATCAAGCAATAATTGAAGAAGTACCACTAAATGATACATCTGTTTTCATAATTTCAGAAAATATCAACAGCACTGTTACTTTCAATCCTCTGACCTCTAAAGACAAAAGAAACTTTTGCACCCAACTACAGATAGTTCCAAGTTTAGAAAGGGTAAAAAGTCTTTGGGAAAGTATTACATTAGATGAACCGTTACCTTGTACCACTATACACATCCAGCCAGACGGCAACTGCTTTTTCCGTGCTCTTGCATTTGTAATTACTGGGAATGAAGAGTTGCATATGTGGATTCGCAGGGCTGTTGTTAATCAAATTCTTCAAAATTCTAACCTCTATTCAAGTTACATCAGACAGGAATTTGAATCAGTACAGCAGTATGTTACACAAACAGGCATAAAGAAAGTTGGATCCTGGGCTACAGAAATTGAGATACAAGCAGCTGCAGACTTTTTCCATACCAATATTTACACTTACACTCAAGGAAAATGGTTACAATATGGCTCTTCTAGTACTTTAGACAACACCAAGGGTATTTACCTGAAACACTGTAATGAATGTCATTATGAGCCAATCGCATGTGTGAAAGATAAAACTAACACATGTTTCAACCTGATCTCATGTAATTACAGTCACTTTAAAGGTGACAAGGACATACTATCTCCATCTAAGATAAGTAGAGAGAACAGGAGAAAGAGAAATCTGTATAATGAAGACATTGAGAAAAGGGAAAGCAAAATAATGATGTTACAGAAATTGTATAAGGACAATCCTAAGTACAGATTACACAAGAAGCAATTAAGCATCATTACATATAGAAATAACCCTGAACTGAGAGCAAGACTCAGACATGCTAATAAACAGAACTACTACAAAAAGCCTGAACTGAGAGCAAGACTCAGACATGACAGTAAAGAAAACTACAAAAACAAACCCGAACTGAGAGCTAGACTCAGACATGCTAATAAACAGAACTACTACAAAAAGCCTGAACTGAGAGCAAGACTCAGACATGACAGTAAAGAAAACTACAAAAACAAACCTGAACTGAGAGCAAGACTCAGACATGACAGTAAAGAAAACTACAAAAACAAACCTGAACTGAGAGCTAGACTCAGACATGCTAATAAACAGAACTACTACAAAAAGCCTGAACTGAGAGCAAGACTCAAACTTGCCAGCAAAACCACTTATGCAACCAAAAGTAAACACTCTAAACTTCAGTTATTGAAACAGAACGTAGAAAGATATAGAAATAAGGTTGACCACCGTAACCGCATCAAACAGTCTAATTCTGAACGGTATAGAAATGTAACTGCTTATGCCGATTCTGTTAAAGAGCACGGAAAACGTAGACGACAAAATCTCATGACTGGAAAAAAGTTCATAGACAATGTCATTCAGCTTTTTAGAGAAAAGGTTAAATTTGGCCCTCAATTCGTCTGTTGTGTTTGTCATCGGTTACTTTTTAAACAACAAGTTGTTGAATGTAAAACACAGCAGTATGAAATTAGAGGTTCATTCATTTCATCTGTGGCAAAAAAATGCATCACTGACACTTATTTACACAAGTGTGGACAGTCTTCTGTTTCCAAATGCCATCTAGAGGTTAGCCCTGCATGTAAATTGTGGGTCTGTTTTACTTGTCATCGTAAAATACTCAATGGAAAAGTCCCTGAAGAAAGTGTTGCAAACAATATGCACCTAGACTCTATTCCTGTAGAACTTAGTACGTTGAATCCTCTTGAGCAACATCTAGTGGCACAGCACATTCCGTTTATG